AAACACCAACGATTGGTTAGATCCCTAGGAACGGACGAGTAAGCACATGCATGACCAGTTATTTGTCAAAGATGAATCGCTGAAGATTCATCAAGGACAGGCACACGACATACGAGGCAGACATAATTAATTGTGAAACCATTTGGGACGTGCTATCATCCTTCAGACTCTTCAGAGCATATACTCACACTCGGGCTTTTTTGACTGAGCTCTGGACGTTATTGAGGTCAGATACGTCAAGGTCAGGATGTTATTCCAGTCAGATACATTCAGCAAAGTCCCAGTTTGAGTATGCCCTCACTCACAATAATCTCCTTCCCCAGTTGGCACTCCCTCCCTTTGCGATGATTACTAACGTCCCTCTCCATTGAGGTGAATCTTTTTTTTTTTTTTTTTTTTTTTTTTTTTTTTTTTTTTTTTTTCCGAACTTTTTCCACGTCCATGGGGGGGAGGCGCCACAGGAGTTGATATTAGCATCCCACCCCCTGGTACCCTCCCAGCATCCATTGAGGTGAGGCTATATATAGACGATGCACTCACAGCGCCCGTCACATCAATATCCATCTCCCTCCTAATTCTCCTCACCGTCTCAATGCTCCAGAGTTTTTTTCAGGGGGGGGTCACTACGAGACAGTCAGGAAAACAGTTTGAAAATGCACTTCACGCACTCCCTCGAAGATAACACACCCCCACGTGACCGTACCGGACCCAAATCCTAGATTGTATACATTCGATATTTTCAGGCCTTCTGCCTGAAGTGCATTTTCAAACTCAAACCCCGACTCCGCCGTGGTTGTCCCTTTTCCTTTTTTTTTTTTTTTGAGTCGGTTTTCGCAAATGTGTGAAAAGTTGTGCTTGGAAGGAGGACCCTCTATCGAATGTTTTTGTACTACACAAGGAATTATTTTTCCATGATTTTGTATTTTTCTTTTTTTCTTCTTCTTTTCCTTGGGTGAATTTGATAAGTCATGTCAATCCTCCGACTGTCCAGATCGCGGCCACCAGAACTGCCAGAGGAGGTAGGAGCACAGATGCTAATCACCCCAACCAGTGGAGAGACAGATCTTAGAAGCCTATGGGAGGTGGAGAAAGGGGTAAGAGAGATCTGGGGGCAGGTCCCAGTAGCGAAAAGGGTCTGATTAAACGCCTGAATCTGGACGTGTTTCATGCAAAGGTGCAGAAAAGCGGATCAATCACGAGTCGGATTCATGACTCTCTGCACCTCTCCACAAACACATCTAGATTCGGGCACTGAATACCATCCTCTTTGGTAGTGGGACCTGGGCCCTGGAACAGGGACCTGGGAGGCGGGGGGGATGAATCATAAACTGCGGGAGACATCGGGAACAGACAGGTAGCCAGAGACCACACCCATGAACTGTTGAAATACAGACCTGAGTTCGAGTCCATATGCTGCCACACGAACAGAAAGAATGGAAAAAAGCCTCAAAAGAAAAAAAAGCAGGGCAGTACAGATAAGTCACAGACAGACTTTGGGTCCATTTGTTTTATATATAGTATATACATAGTCAAACAGAGCTGCCCGGTAAACCGTAGGCAGAGAGGCCCTGAGAGTGAGAAGAGGACAACAAACGAGGGGCTGTGACAAACTGTTTCGTTGGAGTTTATATATATTGTCACATCACTACAACCTAAAAGAGCGCACTTTGCGGAGCAAAGAATAAAAGCAAAAAACGGGCACAGTGATAACATGCAAAAATAAAAATAAAAAGAAAAA